ATTAAATATTTTTTGGAAAATCTTATTGAAATAGACATTATTATCGATACAGAGGCCGAATCTATAGTTTTTAGAATTTTTGTCTGTCTGTCTGTCTATTACCGCATCACGAGAAAACCACTGGACAGATTTTGATAAAATTTGGTATGATGATAGCTGGTTATCCGGGTCAACATATAGGATACATTTTACCGCGAGAAAATATCTCATTTCTGAGAAAAAATACAAAAAACTGCAATGTAAGAGTATACTAATATGTAAAACCTAAGGAATTTGGTTTTTGGTCATCTGAACGCGGGGCGGAGCCGCGGGCAATGCTAGTAATATATAAAAGTGATACGTTTATATAAAAGTAAAATACTAATCACTGATTAATACGAAATCTCAGAAAGAATAAACGCTACAAACTCGGGCATTATGTAATACATATTAAGTATATCTAATTAAAAAAATATATTAAGTTCAACTCCTAAAAGTTCATTTCTTTTTATTAGTGACCAAATTTGGAAATAACCTTTTTGCTTAAAAAAATACTTTTTAAGGTTTTAGACAGAAGATGTAAAAAATTGAATCATGTGAAATATAGGAGCAGATCAAATATACATAAATAAACTACGCGGGAGTAGCCGCGGGGACATACTAGGCAATCATATAACACAAACATATTTTGTAGTAGACTTTTGGTATAGTATTATATACTTATTATATAATACTATATATATACTTTCTCTGTACATTTCAAAAATAATTATATATTAATAGTTATTAAAATAGGTACCTACATAGATCTTTATACTTTATGTATATATGTTTGTTTTCAGCCCTTTTTAACGTCCCTTCAGTATCAAACCATAGTCACACTGCATGTCATAAACACGTTGGTCAAATGCGGGTTGGTATTCTTCACATGTCTTTAGAAAATTAACAAATTATCTAAGATTGCACATTTCCTCACGACGACTATCTTCACCACAATTTTTATACTTACATTTATTATCTATATTATAAAGAGGTAAAGTTTGTGAGTTTGTAACGTTGTAGGGGGTACTCTCTGGATCTACTAAACCGATTTCGATGAAATTTGGTAAGAAGATAGTTTAAGACCCTGTGAAGGACTTTTTATCCCGGAAATTATCCGTTAAGGGGGTGAAAATGGGGAGAAAAGTTTGTAAGGGGAACCAAGCTAATTTAAAATTAGTTGATATCTTTGTTACACACTTAAACTATAAAGGAAAAATGAAGTTCTCTGAGAAAACCCAAGAATATGACATGATAAATGTTAAAATGCAGTAATCGTAATACTTATTATCCGGGACAATGCGACCGGCGTGGGTAAACGGCGACGTAAACAAGTTCGCAGCATTCATTCTGTTTATCTGATATTCCCACGTGCACAATTGAAATTTATCTATGTAGGCTGAAGTATCACTTAGGTGTATAATACGTCTAGATTTTTTTTAGTTCGAGCTATAACAATTGCAATGGTGTAATCGGAACAAAATTATATATTTGTCATATTTCTTTAGTTTATAGGTACATAACTAGACATATCTAAAAACGAAAGAGGTTTTCAATAGATTTTCATAATATATTGAAATGTCTATATTAATATTTTTAATATAATTTCTTTTTAATTAAGAAAATAATTATTAAAAAGTGCAATACAGGTGGAAAATTCAAACTATTTGAAATGCACGTCATTGGTCAGACCGAATATGACGTCTTACTCTATATATATATACTCTATATTATAACAGAGAGATTCGCGATTTTGCCGCTTACAAATTGAATCAACATTTTGTCTGTGTAGATATATCATACTGTGACATCACGCCAAGCGCGAAATGGCGAGTGTTTAAAAAATCCGTAACGGTATTTTTTTTAAACAATTTTTTTTCAATTCATTTTAGTATTCAAATACGTATTTAGGGTATGGGTTCTCATCAGACACTAAGGAAAATACTAAACGGCATTGTAAAAAAAAAACGAACGACAGGCCAAGCGACATAACAACGATTGCACAAGTTATTTATAGCTATTTGTATGAAGGTTCTCAACAGTACAGTGATTTGTAATGATTAATGATTCATTAAGTGCCTTATAAATGTTAAATATACTTATTAAAACTTTTCTATTGCTTATATTAAACATGTACATATATGTTAGCATGAAATTATATGTTAGGTATATAAAATCTAACATTAGATATTATTTTATAAAATAAGATAATTTTAAAACTGTTATTATATGATCTATACATATAATAAAATTGTAACTGTTTGCTGTCTGTACATGGAAGATCTTTGAGAGAAACTATTATTGGGGGTCTTTATTAACGCAATAGAACCCAAAACAATGATTTTTAATTTAGTCTGTTTGTCTGTGCGTTTGTACACGCTAATCTCAGAAACGGCTGAACCGATTTGGGTGCGGTTTTCACTAATGTATTGTGGTAAGCTTCACTTAACATTAAGTATTTGTTTTATTTCAATAGGTTCATAAATCAAAAAAATATGTAAATTTAAAAAATCACCTAGGAACAAACCCGAGCGAAACGAGAGTGTGTCGCTAGTAATTAATATAAAAACAAGCTTTTAAAGATTGCTACTCGATTTTTTTATAAATTATTCTTTACCCACTCATTTGATAAACTTAAACTAAAGCAAAGTTAATTCTGCTTAAAATACTAAGTAAGGTATTATTATAACCTAAGTAATCTTAATAACTAATCTAACTATCTAAAACATAACTAGCGACTCACCCTCGCTCCGCTCGGGTTCGTCCCTACTTACGTTTTAACATTTAGTATAGATTTCTCAGAGATGAGATATTTTCCCCGCAGTAAAAAGTATCCTATATGTTGACCCAAATAACCAGCTATCATCATACCAAATTTCATCAAAATCCCTCCAGTGGTTTTTCCGTGATGCGATAACAGACAGACAGATTGACAGACAAAAATTCAAAAAACTATAGATTCGTCCTGTGTATCGATAATAATGTCTATTTCAATAAGATTTTCCAAAAAATATTTAATGTACAGATTCAGCTTAATTACAATTTTATTATATGTATGGATGTAGCTAGCTTTACAACATCCTAATTTTCATCCACTCTGTGTGAGACAACGAAGTCTATCTAAACCTGCTTTTATATCGAGCGCTAGAAGCTTAAAATTCATACCTACAATTACGTAACTAAATTTAGCATTGACTCGTACCCTAAAGGGGTTAAGTATTGGTTGAAACTCTGTATGTAAATTCATCAAACTTAGAGCAGATGTCAAATAAACTTTAGTTTATAAGTGAACTATCGTCCCTAGATGCCCTTCGCAATCATACTAAATAATATGCCGTTATCTATCTATACTAATATTATAAAGAGGTAAAGTTTGTGAGTTTGTGATGTTGTAGGGGGTAATATCTGGACCTACTAAACCGATTTAGACGAAATTTGGTAAGAAGATAGTTTGAGACTCTGGAAAGGACATAGGATACTTTTTATCCAGGAAATCATCACTTAAGAGTGTGAAAAAGGGGATGAACGTTTGTATGGGGAATCAACTTAGGGACGAACCCGAGCGGAGCGAGGGTGAGTTGCTAGTAATCTATAGGTATACCTATAATCTATAGTAATATTATAAAGAGGAGAAATATTTATGTTTATTTTTTTGTTTGTATCGAATAAGCTCCGAAACTACTAAACCGATTTAGACGACATTTGGTGAGAAGATAGTTTGAAACCCTAGGAAGGAAATAGGACAGTTTTTATCCCGGAAATCATCCCTTAAGGCGGTAAAAATGGAGATGAAAGTTTGCATGGGAAAGCAACGTAGGAACGAACCCAACGAAGCAAGGGTGAGTCACTACTATGTATTAAGTATTTTTACGTTAGATATTTCGCAAAATGCTTAAAAATACTGGTAATAGCAAAAAACCTTCTGACATAATCCCTCGTTCGATTGTTAGAAGCCTTATAAAATCCATACAATACCTAGTCACTAAGATTAGCACAAAAAAAAACAAACTCAAATCGCGTCAGCGGTCGACCTTAATTCATTTTATTTATTTATCTACCTATTTATACAAAGTAGAAAGTAACAAGGAATTTTGTGTACACAAGACGACCTTAATATACTCTTTGTCTCACTTTATAACATGCTGTGAATTGATAAATTAAAAAAAAAGGTAAATAAAGTAGATACGTTTGTGAGCTAAACGTTTTTTCTATACATATAATAAAATTGTAACTAAGCCAAATCTGTACATTAAATATTAGTTGGAAAATCTTATTGAAATAAACATTATTATCGATACAGAGGCCGAATCTATAGTTTTTAGAATTTTTGTCTGTCTGTCTGTTACCGTATTACAGAAAAACCACTGAAGGGATTTTGATTGAAATTTGGTATGGTGATAGCTGATTGTCCGGGTCAACATATAGGATACTTTTTACCGCAAGAAAATGTCTAATTTCTGAGAAAAAATACAAAAACTGCAATATAAGAGTATACTTATATGTAAAACCTAAGAATTTGGTTTTTGGTCATCTGAACGCGGGCGGAGCCGCAGGAAATGCTAGTTATACAATAATTATTGATTTCATAGAATTTAGAATTTATATAGAAGATCACAAGATAGCACGCATTAGAAATGGTATCGCCTTCAGGTCACTTCAATATTGTAGAATTATTGTAATTTATAATTTTAGATAGTCCCGCTGAGTTTCTTTCGCCAGTTCCTCTAAGGATTGTGGCATTATCGTTACAAACTGGTATTACGTACATGATTTTCATTAAAAAAGGTGTAATAATTTTGAATAAAACTTCGTCGCGGCTTTTTTTTCGCGGATTTATTTTGATTTTTAGTTCCTGAAGTTTCGAATGCTTTACAGCGCACATGGTTACGGGAGAGACTAAGGTTTTAGACGTCTCAATAGTCATTATTTAGTTGTCACAGCACAATTTAATGGTGAATAAAATATTTATAATTAGAACAAACCTGTAAGACAAGGCGGCCGAGCCATACCCGGGCTGCAAGCGCAGCGCGGGCGAATAGGGCGCGGCGTAGGGCGCGGCGGGTCTCGCCGGCGCCACGCCCGCCTGCTTGCCGCCGTACGCCAGCGCCCCGTGCCCGTGTTCCGTTTGCCCGGGCCTGATGACAAAAAGACACACATGTTATTTATGAAAGAAATTTTTAAGTCTTTATTTTGACGATAAACCACCGAAATCCTGTTATCAAGGAAAACTTATTATACGTTGTAATCGTTGAAAGTGCTTATTTTAGAGGATATAAATTATAAACTTTGGTGTACATCGAAATTGCACATTTGATATTGTGTATTAGGTACATTGAGTGAATATCAGCAGACTAATGATCTCGGAAGATGTGTCATTTCTAAACACCATAAGTAATTCGACTTCTGACGTCATTTGAGACGTTAGTCGATGTAAATGCACCAGATCCATAGCTTATTATTGATACCAATCGCAATAATTATCACTTTCATTAATAAACGATAGTCCAAAGAAACCATTTACATCAGGAATCGAATTGCCGACCTCCAATACGACAATGCCAAGTCACGCACCCACATTGCCTAATAACGACTAATACAAATACAATTTGAGCGAAACATAAAATTGAACACATTATAATAAACCCAAAACCTCTGGGATTTCCTCGAGCTTGATCATAAAATTCATTATTCATCAAATTCTAAAAACACGCCCACGCCATTTCGCACTTCCCTATCATTCTATACCTACATATATACAAAAACCATCTAAACAAAGTAACAACGTGTACATGTAATTCAATTGTACTCAGCCCTTTTTAACGTCCCACTGCTGAGCATGGGCCTCCCTTCAATGCGAGGTGGATCAGGCCATAGACAAGACGTGGTAATCAAGAAAATATCAGAGGTACGAGACCGGGATTAGAACCCGCTTCACTCGGTTACCCAAGCGTGCGCTTTACCACTGGGATACAACTGTTATTTCAACAAAATGCGTTAAAAGTAAAACCTTAGTAGTTAGAATAACAATTTTCGCTGCAACGAACTCAATATAGCCCCATAATTGGACCCAGTTATGCAAAAAACAGCCATATGCGTAAAAGTACCAACAGAGTTATAAGCATTTTATTATAAAAATGAAATAATTATAAAAAATAAACAATACTTTTAACGATTGTTAATTAAGTGTCCAACTATTCGAGGTCAAGATCGTAAACTAATCGTTTATTACGCAGCTAATGGACCAATAATTCATGCTAAAAATACACTCGCCGCGATAAGCACTAGGTTTACTGAGTGCATACGTTTATGACATAACGCATATAATAAATACATACAAATATTTATTATCTATACATATAATAAAATTGTAACTAAACCGAATCTGTACATTAGATATTTTTTGGAAAATCTTATTGAAATAAACATTATTATCGATACAGAGGTCGAATCTACAGTTTTTAGGATTTTTGTCTGTCTGTCTGTCTGTTACCACATCACAGAAAAAGTACTGGAGGGATTTTGATGAAATATTGTATGGTAATAGCTGGTTATCGGGATCAACATATAGGATACTTTTTACCGCGGGAAAATGTCTTATTTCTGAGAAAAAATACAAAAACTGCATTGTAAGAGTATACTAATATGTAAAACCTAAGAATTTGGTTTTTGATCATCTGAACGCGAGTGGAGCCGCGGGCAATGCTAGTACTTAATATGTCTACTTTATTTCAGGACTGGGCATAAATAAAAAAAAGTTTATTTGTTTGTAGAGAAAATAGATTCTGTTATACCTATATAAGCTATGGTAAGCAGAGTCGCGGGCGAAAGCAGCTATAAAACTTTTTAAACTATGGAATTTTCTTCTATATCATAAAATTAGCGGTCAACAGATTATTTAGTTAGCCCGATAAAGCGATAATACAATTAGTTTTAAATTTAAAACACCATGGCAACCCTAATCGTCGGTTTTATTACGGCTTATCTCAAATCGACAGTGTTATCAAATGTAATGAGATCAAGCGGTCCATTAGGAGCTCCGGAGGCTGGGATGATCAGCCGTCAGAGTTCAACTGTCCAAATTACCTATAGCCTGTATATAAGCTATACGTTTCATTTCCCATGTTATTATCTAATATCAAGGATTATATCGCAAAATTATATTTTAACGTACATAAAATAAACTACTTCGAGTACATTAAAGAAAAAATATTATTTTCCATTTTTGGTTTTGTTAAATTTTTTTATGTTGGGACATTAACGCACAGCACTATCTAGTTCCATGGTGAGCTCGAGGTTTGTGTTATGGATACCAGACTGTTGATATAACTTTATTATAACTTTAAATAGATACATATTATAAATATAAACACCATGACTGGATTACAAACATTCGCGCTCATCACACAAATGAATGTCCCCAGCGGAACTTGAACCAGCGACCACTGGCACAGGAAATAGGGTCACTACAAACTGAGCCAAACTATAACTTATTAAACAGTCTGTTCATACATATTTATATACATATATTGTATTAGCATTATAAATAACTATCAAAAACAGTAAAATTATTTACATATTGTGTACAAACATATATTTTATTCTTTTGAAGGTTTTATTATTATTCGAAGAAATGCGTAGTTAATTTAATACATCCTGTAGCACAAACACACATGTTAAGTTATTGACTAAGATGACTAACTACCATTTGTGTGTTACCTGACTAATATTGTGAGTCACCATAAGTATACGCGGTAGAGTTTTCCTTATCACGGTACACCGTATGTCATGCCATGGTTGGAACGCGAAACTAAAATTATATAGGCAATTGTAATGTCAACTAATTATATAGAATGTTAATAGTGTTAATTACTTTCCTTGTTGTTATGGAAGTCACGAATTCGATTACTGCATCGGGTATTTGTATAATATTTATTAGCTTTACTCTTCTACAAATATAGAGTTCCCACCCCACTAGTCTCCTGAGTCGAATATTCAAAACATAAAGAAAATTATGTATGTATGTATGTATTTAGCCCTTCTTAGTTCTTAACGTCCCACTGCTGAGCACGGGCCTCCTTTCAATATGAGGGGGATTAGGCCATAGTCCACCACGCTGGCCAAGTGCGGGTTGGCAGACTTCACATGTGTTTCGAAAACTTACAATATTTTCTCAGACATGGAGGTTTCCTCACGATGTTTTCCTTCACCGTAAGGCAAGTGGAAATCATGTTGAAAATGATTCGCACATGAAAATATCAGAGGTGCGAGACCCGAGATTTGAACCCGCTTCACTCGGTTACCCGAACGAGCGCATGACCACTGGGCTACCACTGCCATTAAGAAAATTATTTTCTATAAAAGAAAATTATAATAATATCAAAATATAATCTAGTCCCGCGTCCTTGCTTTACTCTAACACTAAATATTAATCGCATGTCCTTTGATAACTTTTGAAACTTGTCACCATTTATTTTACCAGAGAGAATGCCATGTCATACTAAGGCTTACAAAAATATACTTATATATGTAATATTTCTTATTGCTCTGTTTCTGCAATGCTTCGTGAACAAACCAACACATTTGCATTTATAACGTTAGTACAGAACCGTAATGACTTAATTCAAGCGGAAATCGAATCTGCTCTTCGTAAAGACTTACATGCCCGATTTCACCAACATCCCATAAGCTACCACCTGCGTATGGGATCCCTAGCTTAAAGCTTCCCCTGAACTAGCCCCTAAATTAAATTTCGATTTACCATCGTCAGTGCCCGTATTTCTAGTACCTACATTTAGATGGCATTTTAACATTGAGGTGACCCCTAACTGTCGGAGAAACAGAAACTATCCCTAAAAGAGCCCCCTAACAATGCTTAGGGGATCCCTAAAACTTAGGTGACGTAAGTGAAATCGGCCAACAGTCTCACAAAATACGACACAGTATTAAACCATAGGTTAGTTTGAACTGCAATTTACGGAATAACCCAGAGGGAAACAACAATAGTAAATATTACATGAACTTTAAAACAAAGTTATATCCTTATTATTGTGCATAAATACATAATTACAATAAAACGAGGCCATGCGTCGGTTGACTGATAAGTTGGCAGATAACCGTTTCTTATAACGACACAAAACCGATTATCTGGGAAATAATCAATAATTACAAAGTTATTTTTATCATTATCATATTATGACTATATACTCGTATATTATACTGACGACACGTTTGGCTCAGTTTGTAGTGACCCTACTTGCTGTGCCAGCGGCCGCGGGTCCGAGTCTCGCTGGGGGCATTCATTTGTGTAACGAGCACGAATGTTTGTACTTCAGTCATGGGTATTTATATTTATAATATGTATGTATTTAAAGTTATATATGTGTAGTGTATCAATTATCTGGCATCAATAACTCAGGCCTTGTAGCTTACCATGGAAATAGATGGCGCTGTGTGTTAATGTCCCAACATATTTATATTATAATTGACTTAAAAGTACGCAACGTATTTTAAAAACCGTTTGTTATTTATAGAATAAGTAGGTCTGGAGGCGACCTTGGCGTTTAATAGCGTACGACCGATCTAACGATCTTGACGTTCCATTCATATTTTTTAATGAAACTTTCATTTGTATTACATAGAGTCACTCTGGAAGATAGTAAATTATTTTCTATACTTTTATTTAATATGAAATGAGATAAAATTTTGCTTCAGTATTTAAACTTCTATAATCTGGAAAGCCCATTAGTTTTATCTTATCTTAACATATAATAAAATTCTGAGTTGAATCTGTACATAAAATAATTTTTGGGAAGTTATTGAAATAGTCATTATTAACAATACAGAGGCCGAATATATAGTTTCTAGAATTTTTATCTGTCTGTATGTCTGTCTGTCTGTCTGGGAAGGCATCACAAGAAAACCACTGGACAGATTTTGATGAAATTTGGTATAATGATAGCTCTTTATCCGGGTGAACATTTAAGATACTTTCTACTGCGGGAAAATATCTCATCTCTGGGAAATCTACACTAACCGCTGAAACGTAGGGCCGAACCCAAGCCGAACAAGGGTGAGTCGCTAGTGTTTAATAAAATATGTTCTAGCGATAAACTCTCACATCACTCAAGCCTTGAAATGAAATTAAATTAAACTTTATTCAAATGCACTTTGTACAAGCACTTTTGAATCGTCAATATAATTTAAAGGGCGCCAATCTCGTCAGTCTGTGAGGAAGCTACCACCGGCTAGGGAAGCAGTTCTGCTGAGAAAAATGGTGACTTCGCTATTATAGTTAATTTATTATCATGTTTAAACGTTCCTAAAAACACATAACCCTCCTTTGCGTCGCGCAGTCGGGTAAAAACACAGTAAGTATAACATTTTTAACTTATTTTAATTAGTTTAGGGTTGCTCTAAATATAGTTTTTTATTTACTTTACGTTATATAAATATAAATAATATTATATATAAATATAAATGATAAATATAAATAATAGTATATATAAATATAAATGATAAATATAAATAATAGTATATATAAATATAAACGATAGAATTTATTACGTTCATCTGGTATA